GAGAGAGAGAGAGAGAGAGAGAGAGAGAGAGAGAGAGAGAGAGAGAGAGAGAGAGTCGTCCGTCGTTATCGCCACGGTCCGCGGAAGGAAGAGTAAAGGCAGTAGCCTTGAGTTGGTCGGAAGAGGTGGTTAGGCCATCAGTTGGTAGTCCTGGGTGAGGAGATGGACTCTGACTAGTGGTGGCCGAAGCACACGGATCCACTGGAGGTATGTAATACAGAGGCACGGGCTACAGAGAACAAGGATCAGGAGGCGGAGAAGAGGGGAGGAAATACGGGAGGGAGGGAGCAGGGGGGGGGGAACTGAATATTGGCAGCGGAGACCTGTCGAAGGTGGGCGCTTGGCGGCGGAGAGGTTAAGCACATAACATCCCCTCGTCTCATTCCGTCTGAGTGTTCATCTTTTGATTTATATGTTAGGACTCCTTCTCAAAGGGGGAAAGGGGAAGGAGAGGAGAATATCCTCTCCCTCCCTCTCTGTCTTTCTGTCGCTTGGTCCCTCACCCGCTTGAGTCGGGCTGATTGCTCCTTCGATCCAGATGTTGACCCATTAAGAAAGGGATTTCACTGGGGGTGGAGAAGGGAGGAGCGGAGCCTGTGAAGGGATCAACAGCAGGAGGAGGCGGGTGTGCTGGAAGGGAAAGAACGGTAATACAGTGGCAAAGGTACTCCACTCCCTCTCTTGCTGGCTAAAGATTGATGGGGCAACAGCAGCAGTCAGATACTGGAAAGAGATCAACTGGGGGTTGAGAAGGGAGGAGCGGAGCCTGTGAAGGGATCAACAGCACGAGCAGGCGGGTGTGCTGGAAGGGAAAGAACGGGAATACAGTGGGAAAGGCACTCCCCACTCCGTCTCTTGCGGGCTGTAGATTGATGGGGCAACAGCAGCAGTCAGATAGTGGAGGAGAGATGGCAGCCACCGCGAACGCGCCGATGACGTTTCAGGATTTTCTGGACAGAATGCGTCACCCCTCAGCCGCGGATCTTGTCAAGTCGATGAAAAGGTGAGGGGAATTCTTTCTGAGGGTGTGGCCCCTCGATACTGATGTGATCACGTTTGTGGTTGTTACCGTTGGCTAACGTGATGTTGAAGTGCAATATATTTACTTCAGTATTTATACCCTCAGTAATAGTACGAGTAATCAACCTGTTCTGATGTGTGAGCAGTTGTGAGCTGTGCTTGTTTTTGATATCTGTTGGTTTTGTACTTGCTATGCAGGTCGTGATGCTCTCTGTTTGATTCTACTCTCCTTCGATCTGACCCTCTTCTTCTCTGATCGCTCCTTTCTGTCTTAAGTAATTGGCCCTCGTCTCTGATCGCTCCTTTCTTTCTTAATAATTTGTCTTTTTTGTTGTTATCTTTTGGGTCTCGTTGCATTTGGTGGTTTGGTGCATCATGCATGGTCTGTAAAGTTGGTGATTGATTCTTGTTTCAGGTTTTCACTCTTCGTCTTCGCTTTTGTTCGGTCTCTGTCTGTATAATGCTCGTGTTTAACATAATGATTCGTTTCTGTTCTGATCGTCCTCCCACCCGTTCAGACCCTTGCGCACAAAGCAATGACAATGAGAACACGAGTTAAGCCAACCGGGGTTTAATTCAATGAATGGATCGAACAAACGCTCTCGCGAAATCACTTTATTGGGGAATCAGTTTTTTTTAGCTGAAGTGGTGCGCACCATCTGTAGTTCATTCTTCTTTCAGGTAACGACATCTTCTTTAGGAGTTCAGCTTGAGCGTTCAGCCCGAAGCACAGCGGATATTATCATCGTCATCGTCATCTTCATCTTCCTCTATTCTCTCTTCCTCTCCGTTGTAGAAATAAGGGTACGGGTATGTGACTACTGTTCCGTGATGAATGTGTGTCCTAAGCGGGATTCGATCCGCAGCAGGCAGTTCTTGCATGCTTGTCTTTCTTCTGTACCGTCCCCCTTCGTTGTTGCCTCCCCCAGGAGCGTATCCTTTATTCCCCCCCACCCTTTCGGGCCCCCCTTATTCTTCTCTCTGACGATCCGCAAATTCAAATCGCGCACAAATCAATCTAGATCGCTTCCCATATCTTCGTAGCCGATTAAAATGCCCGACCATTGTCTAAAAGCTATATTTGGGGCAACTTCGTCTAGACATAGCGTCAAAAAATGATCGGGGGTGAAAACGGGAGGTCTTGCCCTGTAATCAGCCGATCTGTTAAACCGTTTTGACTTGTTTTATCGGCAAAGCATATAGCCTTTTGGCTGTGTGCAAGTGGGTCGATATGACACCACACGGGGTGGGGGCAGCCGCGCCGCTCAACCTACATCCAGGTGGGCGGCCTTGTACGCAAGAGGTTCTGAACAGGGGGAGTCTTGTAAAGGAAGAAGATGAAAAATGAATTGATATTTTTTTGTTTCCTTTGTTTGTTTTTTTCGCTTTTGCGCTCTGATATCTATGTGACGATATATACTTGAATCGATACGAAAGAAAAAAAGTGAGGCCAAATTTCGAGGTGCCCTAATGGGGGATCTAAAACGGTCACATTATTACTAGTATTTGGGCAAGAAACAAAAACAAAAATAGGCCTTAAGTAGTATTGAAGTATTAATGGGCAAGAAACAAAAAACAGAAATAGGTCGCATTATCATTTGGGCAAGAAACAAAAACAAAAATAGGCTTTAAGAATCGGTATTGAAGTATTAATGGATTTCGTTTTGTGAGCTGCTGATTATTGGGCCGTATTTTGTGCGCTGATTGCATTGTGTGCGCGTGTGCGTGGAGTGGTTTTGGGGTTTTGAACTTTTTGGTGTCGGTGTGGGGTTGGCTGGCGGTTTCATGTTTTCCGCCTTTGCGCTCCGATTCACAGTGTGACAATATATATATTTTTTGGGCGGTTTCATATTTGAATCTGTGATACGAAAGAAGAAAAGTTTGAGGTGACTAACGGTAGTAGGGGGACAAAAACCGTCGGGTTATTATCTGGGCAAAAACCAAAAATCAAAACGGTCGCGTTAATCAGCCGGAACCGCTTGCCCGGCCGGGCAAAAAAATAAATAAATAAAAATTTGTAAATTTTTATTATTTAAAAATTCGGTGAAGAATTCCGATATGACCCTGAGGGTCTGAGGCAAAGTTGTTCAGTTTAATTTTCTGCATAACAGGATTTTTTCCCCCCAGATTTTTTGGTTTTTTTTGGGGTTATTGCTGGGACCTTCTCTGGCCCTTCTTGCACGGCCGGCTGGACCGCCCGGTCAAAGAAGGTGACCCGGGCGGCCCGGCTGGTAGCATGGCCATTATTCTAACCAGTACAGTATCACCGTAATCGATTTCATTTTGTGAGCTGCTGATTATTTATTGGTGAGCTGCTGATTATTTATACTTTTTTGCTGATTATTTATTGGTGAGCTGCTGATTATTTATTGATGGCTGTTTGCTCCACTGTGTGCGCGTGTGCGTGGAGTGTTTTTTTTGGGTTTTGAACATTTTGGTGTCGGCGTGGGGCTGCTGGCAGTTTTATGCTTAATTTCACAGGAATTTGCGAGGGTCAAGATCCCGAGAGGAATAGTGCTATTGTGCAGGAATTCCTTGCCTCTACTGAAGCTGCCTTTCGCGCTCATCCCTTGTGGGCAGGTGCCAGCGAGGAAGAACTCGAGGGCGCCGGTGAGGTTGGTGCGGGTTCCGCCTTTCGCTCATATCCCCTCCTACCTGCCGTCTTCATCGCCTACCTAGTCGTTGTTCTGCCGCTGCTCTTTCGCGCTGCCTACCTTCCCTATCTTGTGGACGTCTTTCCAATGGACAAGTGTGCTTGATTACGTCCAACGGACAAGTGTTTGATTACCTCCTCCTGCTTTGAAACTGCGCAAAGTTCCAATCGATGTGTGACTCGAAGTCTATCGCTCTCCTCTCTCCTCTCTCGCGCTTCCTCCCTTCAATGCGACATCTTTTCTTCTTGTCTGCATCTCTCTGACTCTACCCATTCTCGCATGTCTCCTCTTGCCAGTTTACCCGGTTATTACAGTATCTTCCCGTGCATCCTTGCCTTTCCTTCCCCTCTCCCTCCCCCCTCTTTTCTTCTCTCTGCCCCTCTTCTCTCTACCCTTCTTAACCCTGTTGCTCGACCTCTTTTCCTTGTGGGACTTTCCTGGACCCGTTTACCGTTCCTCTCTTCCCTTTTTGTCCCTCCCTAAGTTATCGTTTCCTATCAAGGGCAACTTTCAAATTTGGTTGCTTCATTCACTCTTTCGCTCCTCCCTTCTTCTTGTCTTCATCTCCCCCTCTCGCTTCCTTAGCTCCTGCCTCCCTCTGTTATGCTCCTCTTTCTTCCCGATTATCCCCGGTCCTTTCTGCCGATCGCTCTATTCCTGAATCTTTCTTCCTCTCTGTCTGTGTTTCGTCTTCTCTTCCTGCCCCCTCTCTCTCCTCACTCGCTCATCTCTCTGCCTGTCTGTTTCGTCTTCCCTTCCTGCTCCCTCTCTCGCCTCACTCCTCTCGCCCTATCTCCCTGTTGTCATCCCACCCTCTAGTTCCCCATACCCTCCTCACTTTCCGTCCCTTATGTATATCCCTCCTTCCTTCCCTCCCCTCCCTCGTCTTTCCCCTCACATTCCCTCTCTCCTCATCTCTCTTCCTTTTTTTTCCCTCCCGTCTGGTCCGCTTTATCCCCCTCTTTTCCTCTCCTTTCTCTTTCTTTCTCTCTCCTCTCCACGTCTCCTCCACCTCTCTCCCTCTATCGGCCTATATTCCTCTCCTTCCCTCTCCCCTCTTTCAGCCGCCTTTTTATTCCCTCTTCCTCTCGCTGTCTGCCCCCCCCCCCCCCTTCCCGCTCCCTCCCCTCTCTCTTTCCTGCTTTTCCTTTTTGACTAGCTTCTCTCCTTCTCTCCTTCTCTTCTCGATGCTGTCCTCTCTTCCGGTTGCTTCCTTCAGCGTCCTAAATTCCTTCTTTTACGGCGCTTCTTTTTTTCTCTCCTTGTCTCACCCTCTCCTTGGCTCTCTCGCCGATTTCTTGTTCGCTGTGTCTTCTGTCACCAGGTTTTTCTTTGCCATGGACCCGCTACCGTTCTTCCCCCGAATAGAACGTACGGTCATTGTCTGTATTTGGCACAACTGTCAGTCCAGATGCAGCGATCTCTCCTCTGTCTCACCCTCTCCTTGGCTCTCTCACCGATTTCTTGTTCTCTCTGTGTCTTTTGTCACCAGGTTTTTTTTTGCCATGGACCCAGTACCGTTCTTCCCTCGAATAGAACGTGCGGTCATTATGTCTGTATTTGGCACAACTGTCAGCCCAGATGCAGCGAAAATGACAGTACGTTCTATTCGGGTGAAGACGGTAGTTTCCCTTTATTTATGGTGCCTTTTAAAAATGACAAGGTGGTTTTCGCGTCACTTACTGTGCCTCGCAATTTAATTTTCTGCTTTAAAAAATATATATATATTTTTCTTTTTTTTTGGGATTTCGTTTCCGGTTAGGGCCTACCTTGCGACGGATAACTTTTCACACGCGTTTTTTTTTTTTTTTTTTCCTCTTTCTTAATGGTTATCGTCGCTTTTCTAAGATCACTACTCTTCATGATGACACGCTGATGAGGTCGACTATTGAGTTAAGTGTGTGGTCAACTCTCACAGTATGTTGTCTCCAGACTCTCCACTGGCACCTTTTGTTTGCCATTTTGTGCAAATCCGCCCACCATGGAAAACCTGATACTGATCTTGGTGATAGGCATGCATAATTCCAGTCAGTCGAACGAGTTTAGTATTCAAAACGGGAGGAGCTGGCCAATCATACTCTAAATGGCGGTTAAGCTCTCACGCCGTCGTCGACTCCCTACCGGCTCGTCAACGCGCTGTCCTCCTCTTTCTCTGTCGTTTCTCCGACAATGCCTCCACCGAGTAGGCTGTTGTGTAGCTCTGTTGCTGCTACTTGGGTAAATGAGAAGCGTTGAATATGCACGTTTGTGTGTCAGGGGTCAGGGGGAAGAGAGAGAGAGAGAGAGAGAGAGAGAGAGAGAGAGAGAGAGAGAGAGAGAGAGATTCTCCGACAATGCCTCCACCGAGTAGGCTGTTGTGTAGCTCGGTTGCTGCTACTTGGGCAAATGAGAAGCGTTGAATATGCACGTGTTTGTGTGTCAGGGGTCGGCGGGGGGGGGGGGGGGGGGGGAGAGAGAGAGAGAGAGAGAGAGAGAGAGAGAGAGTTTAGCTTTCCGTAGAGGACTTGGTCGGAACGACGTGGGCGGATGGGCGGATGAATTCTCCAGCAGTCGAAAACGATGCGTGTTGACGGACGCAATCGGGTAGTAAATCGGTTAGGCGATGAATGAAGGTGGGAGGACTATCCGTCTCTTCCCCCGAATAGAACGCCTGGTCATTACAGCTGTATTTGGGGCAGCTTCTGGACTAGATGCAGCGATAATGACCGGGCGGGTGAAGACGGTACCCGTCTCTTCCCCCGATTAGGACGTATGGTCTGTATAGCCGTATTTGGGGCCAACTTCCGGACCAGATGCAGCGATTGATAATGACCGGGCGTTTTATTCGCGCGAAGTCACTACCCGTCTCTTCCCCCGAATAGTACGTATGGTCTTTTATAGCTGTATATATTTGGGGCAACTACCCTCGTCCCCCTAGTAGAACGTACGGCCATTTCTGCTGCATCTGGACTAGAAGGCGAGCGAAATACGGCTGTAATGAACGTACGTTCTATTCGGGGGAAGAGGGTAGATACAACGATAAAGCCCATGCACATCCTATTCCAGCTACGACGGGTAAAGCGAACTTTGCATCGATCCCGTATCACATTTGTCATCATTCGATACGATTCTCTCCGCCCCCCCCCCCCCCCCCCCCCCCCGCCCCCCCTCCCCCTGTGTTTGAAGGCAACGGTAGGCGATTAGTGTGTGTGCACAAATGGGTGGATGGGCTTGCGCATCTTCTCCTGTGAGTGGGGAGTCGAACACTCTTCTTCCTCCAGATGCACGGTTGCTTTGACACCCTTGTTTGTGACAATACCGGGGCCAAGTCCCACTTACGCTGAATCTTCATTTCCGGCCGTTGATCTTTGGAATCTACGGTCAGAAGTTTGAGCTTTCGGGTAAGTGGGACCTGGCCCCCGGTGATGGTTGTCTTCCCGCTAGGTTCTTTAGAAGATTCGACGAACCGGGCCGATTTTTTTATTTTTTATTTTTTTTGGTTCCCGAACGGCCACGGCCTTAAGGGATCATTATCATTATCGAGCTGACCGGCCCCAGAGAGTTGGTTTATGCATGTCTAGGTCTGTTTATCAACGAAATTAGAATATGCGTAAAAAAAAAAAAAAAAAAAAAAAGCGAAATAGAAATAGAATGCCGGTCGACCGTATATAAGATTCTGAACACAGAACAGCTCCCGTATCACATTTGTCATCATTCGATACGATTTCCCCCCTTTCCCCCCCCTCCCTGTGCACAGTTGCTTTGACACCCTTGTTTGTGAGGTTGCAGATTTTGACAAGTAGAAGATTTGACGAACCGGGCCGATTTTGTTTTTGTTTTTTTTTGG